AAGTTGGGATAGGGGAAGAGAAATGGTTTTAATTCATAAGGTTAAAATATGTCATTACTTTAAAATAATAAGGATAAAGATGGAAAAAAAGTTAGGAAGCTAGTAGCTTATTTTGAAACGCCACCTAAAGTAGCGTTCTAAAATAAGCTCTTATTTTAAGCTAGGAGCTTATTTTGAGAACATTATCAAACAGAGCTTATAGCTTATTAGTAGCTTAAAATAAGTTATAAGCTCCTAGCTTAGGTTGCCAAACAGAGCTTAATGTTTTTGTTTTTTTTTTTTTTTTTTTTTTTTTTTTTAATTTTTTAATTTTTTTTTATAAATTATTTCCCCCTTTTCCCATATTTATTTTAGTAATAATATAATTTCCTAAATCATATGACAATATCGATTTTTCCAAAATAATTGCAGACAACCGAGTCATATATTGTTCAATTAATTGGGTGATACTTTTGCACTAATCTTATAATCAAATAAATGTACACTTTCAAATATTAGAATTATTTATAATTTCATCTTTAATTTTATTATCAAAATATATAATAAAATTTTTTATCCGTGTAATATAAAATGGTAAAAATTCAACAAGTGATGATTCTTGATAATGGAACTAGAGGAGTGACTTAGCTTGATGATCAGTTGGTGGGTAGTAACAATTACACTAACCTTCAGCTTCACAATATATGAAGAACAGGCTAGACTGAATAATTCAATAAATTCTTAAACAGAAAAGAATGAAATAATTAAGTGGGCAAATGACAGCATGATGCATATATGGTTAGTCAATATTTGGAATTTAGCCATACATTAGGCATGTGGTGATGTGAATTGGTTCAAAAAGTTTCATCATTTTCCACAAAATGACATTAAATAAATATAATATAATATAATGTAGTTGTATAACACATAATCATGGCCGCAAGAGGGGGGAAATCTTGAAGAAATCTTGGGGAAGAAAGTAACAAGTTCAAATGAAAGCATATATAAGGTAGTCATTAGTCATGATGAATATTGGACAGGCCTGACCAAATTACATTAACGAAATCATATTTACTTTTTGTCTGTTAGTTTCCTGCAGCTATCTCTCTATTTTATTTATTTATTTAGGTAGTTTAGCTCATTGGCAAATTACCAATTTGCATTTAATTACAAAACATTCTACCAGCTTGAGCTAGATTTGGTTGGAGGGAATTTAAATTCCATTCCCACTTAATTCTCATATAATTCTAAAGGTCACTAAATTTCTTAGTTTTGTTGGAAGAAATTGCAATTTCACGGAATTACAATTCCCTTATTTTCATAGAATTAAAATCTCATACCCCCTTGGGATTTTAATTCCATAAATTTTAGAAAGAAAAAAAGATAATGATGAGACAAAATTACCCTCCCCTTTTTTAACCTAAAATTGATGCCTAACAACAACAATGGATATTTTGGACTTTATAATACTTATTCACTTTTCAATTCCCATGTATACCAAATATTGAAATTGAAATTCCCAATAATTTTATTTCTGTAAACCAAATACTGGAATTTAAATTCCCACTATTTCCAATAATTCATCTCCTATGAAATTGCAATTTCTTTCCCACATAATTTCCTCCCTCCAACCAAACTCCCCGTTAACGGTATATTAGTTAATTAATATTTTAAGTGAAAAATAAAAATAAAATAAAAAAAATGAGAATTTTATTCAAAAGAAAAAGAAACGGTTTAAAAAATAAGTCTTTAATCAGAAGAAATTGTCAATCCAAAAGAAATAGTCGACCAGAATAGGACTATTCCAAAAGACTTTTCAATTAGCTCTAAAGACAAATGGACTATATGGTGTTTGGTAGTTAGGAAAGTACAATTTTTTTCTAGGTATTTAAAATGTGGAAAAATATTATCACGATTGATGTAATTTTTGACTTAAAAAAATTCAGGTCAATGAAAATCTAATTGCATGATATTAGATAAATTAAATCCCACCTAGGGAAGGTAAGATTCATTTTTTCAGGTGACTGAGAATCTATCAAATTTATTTAATTACGTATTTATTCTTATTGACGACATGTTAAAAGTCTTTTAAAAATATAAAAAAATGTGTATCTCCCACTATTACGAAGGATAACAACACTATTTAGGAAGAAATTTTTGTAGTCTCCACAATTGTAAATCATTAAGAAATACACCCTCTATGATTTTTGGATAGATACATTAGTATCTAAATGCGTCCTAGTCAATTGATTATCATCCTTGCTGAATTTTCTAACGATTTTATCAATATAATGAGATTTGCTTAACACAAAACTATTTTATCTTCTAATAATTTTAATCTCAAAAATTAAATTAGCCAAACTCATGTCCTTTCATGTCAAATCTCGAATCAAGACAACCAATCTACGCCCAAGGAAATTAATATGAGGAATCAGCTAGATTGAACAGCTGGCAACCTCTTTCTTTAAATAGAATTGAAACCCAACTCTCTAATAAGTTTCTATCATCCTTACAAAAAAAAAAAAAAAAAAAAAAAAATTCTATCACAAATTAAACCATTAAATAAAAAAAGAGTGTAAATGTCATTAGTCTACATAGATATCAAAAATAATTTGGAAGAGCTTTAAAAAGAATTTTGAAACTATTTGACTATTTCTTTTTAACAGTTGACTCAAATATCATTTTGAAATTAAACACTTAACACAAAACTCACTTGGACAAATCTATAAGAACATTTTGGATAAAAGATGAAAAACAAATTTTGCTCACCAAAGGGTATATAGAAGATATGTTTAGAAATATTGAGCTCACAAATACGAAATATAAATATTATGTATCTGCATTAACATATTATGTGCCTTCAATTTATTTACAAACACATAATCTGTTAACTGTAGACACATAATATGTTAACTGCAAACACATAAATTTTGGATTAAAATCTACAATGCTAGGTACCATGGTATAACAATTGAACACTTAATATTGCCTTTAAAAAAAAAAAAAATCCTTTCTCCAATGAAATCATGACATATGCCCACTGTTGCAAAAATCGCGCCTAGACGCTCTAAGCGCTCTAAGCGGTCTCAGGCGCCTAGAGGACGCCTAACGATTTTTTCAACATTGCATATGCCTTCAATCCTTCATGAAAATACATTGAGGGAGCCTTTTGTTCAACCATAGAAATCATAATAGGAATTAGAATTGAACTAATACTTAGTAGTTGGAATGAATTTTACTTTAGTAAAAGTAGTTTGTTCATTTGGTATACAAATTGAAATCAAAATTTGAATTTGAAACAAAAAAAAAAAATGTAAACACAAAAGTTAATTTTTGCATTATGGATTTCAACAAACAAGAACGGCGATGGTTTTTTTTTTTTTTTTTTTTTTCTTGTGATTTTTCCTTATTTTTTTAAATTTCAAAATGCAAACATGAACCTTACCTTTAAAATGAAATTTAATTATTTAAGGGGAATATAAAAATGCCATTTTAGTACATTAAAACTAGACAAATAAACATAAGAATCATATTTAAATACGACTTTCATGTTTAAAAATGGTAAACTAAACACCCCTAGCATTTTCCTTTAAAAATTAATGAAAAAGGATTGCCATGCATGCATTCCTATCCCAAAATAAGACAAGATTTACTCAAGTTGAATTGTGTCAAAACTCAAAATCTCCAGCATCATGCAATTTTTGGGGAAACAACAAAAAACAAAATCCTTTCAAAAAAAACAAAAAACAAAATAATACTATGCGACAATATAATATAATGTTGCATTGTTATCTCTATTATCTATAATTCTAATATTGAATATATGAGTTAATTTCATTTTTGGTCCTATATTTATATATGACAATCTACTTTAAGTTCCCTTTTATTAGAATACTTACTTTTGGTCTAGTATTATTGTGACATTACTATTTTTGTCCTTTATCAACAAAACAGTTTAAATGTCATTAAATAGAATGACATTCTAGTCTTCAGTTATGAATGTTTTTTTTTTTAAATAAAAATAAAAAATATAGTGGTTCAACCTACTTTGTATAAAAAAAAAAGATTAAAATGTCTTTGTATTTCAACAATTTTGTTGATGAAGGACTAAAAATGATCATGTCACAATAATACTAGACTCAAATAAGGATGTTCTAATAAAAATGATTAAAAATAAATTATCACCTATAAATTTATGAGCAAAGATAAATTAACTCATGAATATATTTTAAGTCGATTTTGTTAATGTATACACATTAAAACAAACGCTCCCTCAGCTCTGTCCTATCAACTTCTTTCTGGTATCTTTGTGTCATATCAACTTTATGGAATACGAACAATAATATAAATACAGGAAAATTACATTTTTGTTCTTTAATTGTTCTCCATTTAAAAATTGATATAATTCCTCAATTTTTAAATGATTAGATGTTGTCCCTCTAAATTTACTCAAATTGATTTTTTTTTTATTTTTTATTTTTTTTTTGGCAATGAGCGAGGAAACTATAACGTGTACATTGAATAAATCTTGTTCCTTTATAATATGCCAGGTTCAATAAAGAGAGTGTTGGCAAATATAAAAATCATAATCTTTTAATATAATCGATAATAATGTTTTATCCATTTAGGCACCCCTTTTGTGCCTCAGATCAAATTGTGAATTTGATTTCTTAATTCCATGCATTTTTGTTTTTATTACAATAGTTAGGCAAAGGGATTAAATTAATCTATCTACTATCTACTATACTAATAAGAGCCAATAAAGTTAGACCTATAATAAGAATTAAAAAATGTTCGTCCAATTATTTGATTGAAAGATATTTATATTTAGAAGAAGTGAATTTAAAGGTGTGAGAAATCAAGTTCACAAATATTTTTGCAGAGTGTGATATGACTGACATCCTAAGAATTATTGGCGATTTCAATATGGTTTATACATTATTATAATTTGGTTCTAAATATATAGCTTGAAATCCAACAAGTAAAACATATTTGAAAGCAAATGAGTTGTTAGTGTGGGACTATTTTTTTCTCAAAAAGAGGGAGGGAATGAGGAAAAGAGTTTGGCATTGGGCGTCCCCCACAGAAAAGGTGGTAGTGCCAAAAAAGTTGTTTTTGTACAAACTGCTATTATGGTGGTGATGATGATGATGATGATGCCTACAACACAATTTTACAACCCATTCCCTTTCTCTCTTTCCCTCTCTCCATCCCCCTTAGCTTTATATTATCTTCTCCCTCTCTTCTTCTTCTCCTTCTTCTCCTTCTTCTAATCTATCAACCCAAATGAGAGAGCAAGAGGCCATGGAGAGCAAGTGTGGCTGCTGGGCTGTTCTTCGGCGCAGTGTTAGAGGTGCCTGCAGATCCTCTGATTCCAAGAACTCTCCCAACTCTATACCCAGAACTAGTCTTGTCTATGATGCTGGTAAATTTTTGTAATTTTTAGTTTTATTTAGTGTAGTAATGTTCAAGAATCTTTTGGGTTTGTCTCAATTTGTGTTCATATTCAGGAATTTTCTGCTTAGTTTTAACGCTTAACAGGTGGGAGTGAGTGAATTGAATGATTTCATATTTTCATTCCTATTGGTATAAATGTAGAGTTTCTCTCACTTGCCTTTTATAGATTTGTTGCCTTTTTCTAGCTTCTATGCCTCTCAGTCTCCATTTCTTTTTTAACTTGTTTTTTGTCACCATATATTGAAAGATGCATAAGGAAAGCTAATAGCTATAGTTTTTGGCAAACTGTGGTTACTTGTTTTGAACTTTCGACATTAGAACAAGTTGAACAAGAAGATCCTAGTGCTAATTAACTCTTGGCAAATGATGTAGTGATAATTGAAGTCTGATATCAAATTAAAGTATGTGCTCATCTCAATTAAAAGTTTAAGCTGATAGTTGGATTGCACATTAATGGCTATATGCTCAACAGTGATGACTGCTGGTTGATTTCCATGAACATACCAAGATTTTCTTTACATTTTTATTTTATTTTTACAAATTTTACAGTTATGATTCCTTCAAATTGTAATTTCATTTTCACTAAAAGAGGGTAGAAATTAAAGGATGAAAGTGTGTGGAATACTGGAATTTCGAGTTGTTTACTAGGATGATTAATTGTGATACTGCAGCAACCGAGACACGATATCTTAATGCCAGCAACAGGGAGATGAGTGCACCAGATGAAGCCCGAGACTCTTCTGATAATCAGGCACCCGAGGCGAAAAACAAAGTGCCCCGCAAATTACTTGAGTTCAGCTTTCAAGAACTTAAATCTGCAACGGGGAACTTCAGGCCGGATAGTATTCTTGGCGAGGGTGGATTTGGGTATGTCTTCAAAGGGTGGATAGAGGAGAACGGGACTGCTCCAGCGAAACCGGGCTCGGGAGTTACTGTGGCAGTCAAGAGTTTGAAGCCCGATGGCCTTCAAGGCCATAGAGAATGGGTGGTTAGTAGACTATATGACTCGTGGTTAGTAGTTGTAAGAATGTTGAGAGGAATAAGTAAGATGGTTAGTATACGTCGGGTAATGTAATGATTTTAGTGCAGGCAGAAGTGCACTTCCTTGGACAGCTTCACCATCCCAATCTCGTGAAGCTAATTGGATATTGCAGCGAGGATGATCAAAGGCTGCTCGTGTATGAGTTTATGACCCGTGGAAGCCTCGAAAATCATCTTTTCAGAAGTGAGTTTTACCGAATGTTCTTGCTTTATTGTCAGTGGCTTAATTATTAGTTTTCGTTTATGCAATTTGTTTGAACTATTGAAGGGACCATACCTCTCCCCTGGTCGAGCAGGATCAAAATTGCCCTCGGTGCAGCCAAAGGTCTAGCTTTTCTCCATGCAGGCACTGAACCCGTCATTTATAGAGATTTCAAGACATCAAACATTTTGCTTGATTCGGTAAGTGCTAAATGAATCATATATGGCGTTAACATTGTAGTTTCGTATGACAGAATTTATATCTGCAGGAATATAACGCCAAGCTCTCCGATTTTGGCTTGGCAAAAGCCGGTCCTCAAGGAGACAAAACACACGTTTCAACGAGAGTTGTTGGCACATATGGCTATGCTGCTCCAGAATACGTGATGACAGGTAAGGGAACCAAACTGTATTGCTTCTCTGAATCTGTTCTAGAACGTAACCCTGTTTGGTAAATGGCTGTTAGCTGATTGGGTTGGAAGGTATGACTAGTTGATAACATTAGCTGATTGTAGAAAGGTGTTTGGTAAATTAGCTGTTAGCTGATAGCTGTTTGGTATAATTTCTTTTCTCAAAAAGCTAATTGAAAAAGTTGCTTTAAGCAGCTTTTTGAATTTTAACATTTTGGAGTTACAAAAAGCTGATTAACCAAACAGTTATAACCAAGTCAAACAGCTAATAGTGATCAAATGAACCAAAATTGGCTGATAAGCTAGCTATTTTACCAAACAGGGCCAATAGATGAACTGATTTTTAGCATTTTAGCTTCGATTTTGAATGTTCTGAGAACAATATATAGTAAGTTGAGAACAATATGTTGTGCAAATTTGTGTTTAGGACACTTGACTGCAAAGAGCGATGTTTATAGCTTCGGGGTTGTGCTATTGGAAATTTTAACGGGCAGGAGGTCGATGGACAAGAAGCGGCCGAGTGGAGAACAGAACCTCGTTACATGGGCGAGGCCATATTTAGCTGACAAACGAAAGGTGTACCAAGTAGTAGACCCCCGGCTCGAGCTCAACTACTCGGTTAAAGGGGTGCAGAAGGTGTCACAGATAGCTCACGTATGTCTAAGCCGGGACTCCAAATCACGCCCTTCAATGGAAGAAGTCGTGAAGGCCCTCACCCCGCTTCAGGATTTCAACGACCTGGCTATTCTGTCCAACAACGCCCGCATAATTCAGTCGGGAAGGCGCAAGAAGAAGCCCGAAGGGATGCATTCGCAGCAGATGAACTATAATAAGCAATGCAGGAGCATAAGGGAATCTCCCCTCCACTCTGCAGGTAGGCATCCTTGTAAGTAATGTATGTATGTTCTCCATAGGGGTGAGATGAAGCCTCAAAGCTCTACTTTGAGGGAAACATTATTGTCATTTGAAAACCTTAAAATTCTATTCTAATTACTGATGTGGAATGCTTAGCTTTCTGTGTTTCTGTCCGGTAATTGGAACTGTAGTTTTGGATTGTAAGTACACTTTTTGATCCATATTTTGAGTTTTTTGTGTCCATTGTTTGGAAAAGGGTTAAATAGGCCCGGAATGTTACTCAAGAAGTCAATTAATCACTTAAACTTTCAAAGGTTGTAATTAAACTCTTAAACATGTTATTTTAGAGCATTGGGACCCAAAAATCGGTTGGTGACTTATAATTACAGATCACTAGGTTCCGGCAAACCTCTGACGGGATTTTGATATTATTCCGGCAAAAAACACTAGTGAAACTGTGGCCAGTGTCATTTGGTTGCCTTCTCCAGCGAAGGAGAAGGCAGACCAAACCATTTGGAACAACTTCCTTGAAATCAAAGCTAAGCATATATGTACAAGAAAGCATAACGGCTTGTGCACAGAGTGTAAAGACAGGGGTGAAAATTGAGGATTAAACCTCATTCAGCGCCTTTTTGCATGGATTCTACGAGTTTAAGATTAGTTTAGCATAAACTGTGAAACCATATATTAAAAAAAAAAAACGCTTAGAATTAAAGCAACCCCCATCAACAAAATCCTCAAATGATGTCTGACAACAATTCAACTCTAAATTAGTTAGGAATCGAAAAATCAATCTATGAGATATCGTAATAACTTAACTTTGAATTAGTTAGAAAGCAGTCTATTGATTATCGGGGTTATGGTAAAAAAAGTGGAAAAGGAAGAGCAAAATTTAAGGATATGATGATGTTGTGGCATATATGTCTGGGGCAAAATTAAAGGGCCGACAACGTCATAGAAATTGAGCAACTATATGATGTGAAAAGCATATAATGTTGTTGATGGTGTGATGCTAAATTAACGATCAGTCTGTGGAGACAATGCATTAGTATCGCAAATATAATATTCGATCTGCTAAAGATTCTAATTAGTGTGAAGTTGAAGCAAGAATCACGACTAACTTTTACATGCATACATATATCTAGAATATATGTTTTAAGTATATTTAGCTTTATATCGAATTTACAACACATGATGATGATTGTTCGTTTAAGGTCAAATATAATATTCTCCTGAATCAACTTGTTTTGTCGCCAAAACATTTTGTTTTCTTCCCCCATTTATTGAATTTCTGCCTATCAAAGTTACATTTGAAAATGACACTCCAGAATAGACTTATTAGCTTAGATTTTGATTGACTTAAAGTCTCTGGATCGGAAATAGTGATCCGAGCTAAAGTCATATACATAACATCTCCTCTTTACACCGCCAGTGGCCTCCAACCACAACTCTACATCCGATACATCAGTCAGAGTTTGTCTTAGCTCATTTATTGTATCCTATAAAATAAAACAAATTAAAGAATTTTCATCTGCTAAAATGATTCCATGTAATAATTTTAATAGAATTTATTTTAGAAAGATTTATTATTACAACAACTTTTTGAGCTTTTAGACAAACATATGCTCCACCTCCATTTTTTGTTTTGTTTTGTTTATGAGTCTATTGCTCTTGTGGTTTGTGTTTGTTATTTGCCAAATCCTCCCAAACCTCCCGAAAATGGTCTGTAAGCTACTTTATAGTTCTTTTCTCAAAGATTCGGTGTATGAAGGAAAGAAAAAAAAAATTACTCGTTTGAGTATATTAGGCTCTGATACCCTATGAAGGTTTGAATGAGAATGTATTATTGAAAGAGAATAATACAACATAATATATAGAGCTATGCACCAGGAATCTAAGGGAAGTTACAGCAAATTGCATGCTCAGTCTAAGACTAACAAAATAGAGAAAGAGTAGGACAACATCATATAAATAATACTAATTATAATTAGTCCTAAATAATACTAATTATAATTAGTCCTTAATACGGTGTACAATATCTTTCTCTAGTAGATCCCATTGATAGCTTTTCTATCATCATCAAAACTCCAAATTAACAAAATACAAGTAATGTGCAAATTAAACTAAATATACAAGACAGTAAACAATGCACTTCCTAATGTTTCTTTTTCATGTATGCTTCCTTTCACTATATAGTAACTAAATCATTAAACAATACACTTCCCTTGTCATCCAATTACTAGCCTTAAAAAAGACAAACTATTACCTATAGAGTGAGATATTCTATAGTTTTGTCAATGAGCACATGCAATACTACGTTTTGCAAAATGCTTATGCTATATATATATATATATATATATATATATATATATATCATGGTACATATTAGTAAGGTGTTTGGTTTGTAACTTACCCTAAACTCATAAACCCACACATCTTTTAAATGTTGATGAACGTCGTTAAAAGATTTTATAGCCAATGGGAATATCCATTGTATGCAAGAGATGATCGGAAGGTGTGTTGTATGAGGCAAACTATGTTGTCTCTTTAACTAAGTATGTATCACATATCAACCCTTCAACATATTTCTTATTTTTCATTTTAGATTTGAGATGATTAATGAACCTTTCAAATAGATACATGAAACGATATTGGACTAGTACACGTAATTGTGTTTCATTATATTGGCCAAAGTGTATAGGCAAGTGCTCTATGCAATCAAACATTGCCGGCAGAAAAATACGCTCAAGCTTGCAGAGTATAAGGACAATGAAAATATTTATTTCATTCAATGTGTCGACCCTGAGAGAAGTTGAGGATAGACTTCAGAAAATGTGCTTAACTCAACTAAAGCTTGCCAATGTGGTTTTGGTAAAAAGAAAAAGACAATTGGCAAAAGACACTACATAAAAATGTGGCAATCATTGAGTTTTCATCCCACATAATTTTGAACACATTAAATCAACACAGTTACGTACTTTTATTTGGAAAAAAAAAAAACGATCATGTAACTTTAGAGTTCTTAACCACTAGTAAATAACAATATGATGATCTCGAGATCGGCTCAAAGTATAGCTCGCCTTCGACATAAGATATCGTCCATTATGTTCCACCAATTCCAGTGTGACATATGACATAAATCCTTTATATTCAAACGAGGAGCTAGACCTCACATATATTTATATCACAAAATAACTACTAAAAATGTCATTTTTTTCTAAAATTTCTTACAACTACTACACATGAAATTGTTGTGCTCTAAGCTGTGTACTGAGTTGTTATATGATTCTAAGGATCCAATAGTGTTTACTCGCTATTGTTGATGTACTTACTATACATGAAATTGCTGTGCTCTAAGTTGTTTGCTGAGTTGCTATCTTATTCTAAGGATCCAATGGTGTTTTCGGATGGAACTTCTTTTAATTAGTTTTTATATCATTTTTTTTTAATATCTTTCACTAATTGAGACTTGATTATGAAAGGAATTAGTTAAGTGTTTTCGTGATCACAATTACTTACAAAATGATGAATAGTTAATTGTTGTCGGCAAATTATGCCCTGGACCCGTGTCCACAGTGAATTGTGGACACGGGCCCAAACCACGTCGTTTTTCAAAAAAAACGCGTCATTTAGTTATAAAAAAAAAAAAAAAAAATCGCGCACGTTTTGTCGTTAACGGCGTTATTATTATTATTTTTTTTGGATTATGAATGTACAGTTATGCCGTTATGAATGTACAGTTATGCAATTATGAAATTATGAACACAGAGCTCTAACATTATGAACTTACAATTATGAACATATATAGTGATAAAATTATGACCATGGAGCTTTAAAATTGTGAATATAGAGCTTCGAAGATTATGAATGTATAGTTATGGAGTTATGAATCTACAGTTATGGAGTTATGAATCTACAGTTATGAGATTATGAATCTACAGTTATGGAATTATGAATGTACAGTTATTGATTGAATTATGAACAAAGAGCTCTAACATTACGAACTTACAATTATGAACATATAGTGATAAAATTATGAACATAGAGCTCTAAAATTGTGAACATAGAGCTTCGAAAATTATGAATGTACAATTATGGAGTTATGAATGTACAGTTATGGAGTTATGAATGTACAGTTATGGAGTTATGAATGTACAGTTATAGAGTTATGAACGTACAATTATGGAGTTATGAATGTACAGTTATTAATAATATAGTAATAAAATTATGAATATATACTCCTATAACAAAGCGGTCTGAAATTAAAAAAAAAAAAAAAAAAAAGAGATAACAGTGCCTAACGGCACTGTTACCCGTGTCCAGCAAGCATGCTGGACACGGGTCCAACGCATAACGATTGATTGTTGTCCGCATGGACAGCCAACTGGTATAGAGGTAAAGTTTGAAAAGAATGAATACTTAATTGTTGTGTTCATATATTTGGGATTTGACTAAAAAAATTTAGACATCAGAGCTATAAAATTTTGGAAATAAGCCTAAGTTGGATGGGCTGGTCCATTTCAAACATATCAACTTCTTACACTTCTAGTTTTCATTGAGTTTTAGCCCATTTACTCATATCTCAACAACAAAAAATATTGCTAACTCCAATAAGTCTACGTGCAAATACTCTGCAAATGAAAGATGAACAATACCTACCCTCTTTCCATATAATCTATATAGAAATTCATGTGTGGTTTGCTGACTATTACACAAAAGCGGAATTTATCATCAATTGTACGTAATTGTAGGTTTTCTTCGTCACCCCCTCCTCCCAAAAAAGAAGAAAAATATGGTGTAGGACTTGAATCTAATATCCCAACTAATAAAGAGACATATGCATGCCACCTCCGGGGCAAATTATAACAACTGTGTGGATCATGGTTCAAAACGACGTCGTTGAATTTTATGAGTTAGAATAATGTACATTATGTGTTAGAATAATGTATTTTATGTGTTGAATAATGTAAATGTGTTTTTAGAATAATGAAACTTCTAGGGTAAAATAATGTATATTATTAATAATGTATATTATGCTTTAAAATAATGTACATTATGAGTTATAAAATATATGTTGCAGTGGATCGCGTGAAAAAAATACATGGAACGACGTCGTTTTTGGGCCGTGGTCTACGATCCATGTAATAACTATTTCACCTCATGGGTGTTGGCA